CCTTCCCAGATTAGGAATGCAAAATAGGTAGACTGAATTAGCTCTTTAGTATACCTGTTTCTCCCTATTAGTAATTTATGGGTCCTAAACAGTGAATTTAGGTTAAGTGTCAAGCTTCTGGATGTATAAAATTAGGTAGATTGAATGCTACAAGGCTCGCTGTGAGCATGGACTAAGCTCTCCATCTGAGTTATGGATAATCCATCCTGTGATCACTAAGTGGGATATCGGCCGTGGATCAAGAGCAATATGTTTAAGAAGACCTGGTTGTAGGCTATATAAAGAAAAATGTAGTTTAGTCCACCACAAAGAAAGAGCTTTGCTGCCCAGGGGGATTTCTTTTTTCTCTTTTTTTCTTTGCAAAGAATGAAAGGCTTACTGTATTTTTAGGTTGAGAGGAATGGATTCCTCATTTCTGAATTGGAAAAGACTTCGAGGCAAAGGAATTTGATTTGGTTACTTCAAGCACTCACTTAGCTTTTCTGCCCTCTCTGTCCTGATGTTTTGGTGCCTGGTGTGCTCTTTTATAGACATTTACATAACGAAGGTCATTTCTCTGAGGCAAGGTACAAGAATGCATTACAATTGTAAATTCCCTTAATTGTCCTAAAGCAGGGCTCAGAGCTTAGACAATGGAAAATCCTATTGTTCTACTTTCCTGAGAGAGGTGTGATTAGAATAGAAATACATGGATATGTGGATTCTAAAGCTAAACTGGAAAAATTATTCATAAAAAGGTTTATTCACTCGTGATACACAGATAATGATGGAAGCCATGAACCAATGAGCTGTGAGTTTACATATAGGTTTTGTTTTATAGACTGTTAACTTAAATGTGTTTACTATTTCTAGTGTGACTTTGCACTCCAGGCTTTATGGAGGTACAGTTCATGTCAATATAAAATCAGCAAATCTCCTATTATTAAAACATATTTTTTCATTCTGTCAGGAAAGCGATTTCTGTCCCCCACATTTTCTGGAAGTTAAAAGATGCCTCTTTTTCTTCCCAAGTATTGGTACCTGTAATTTACTTTGCTTAAGCCTGTTTGAACTCTTTGGGAGCTTGAGAAAGAAATGTCCATTTAAATAATCCCCATCAACATTTGTTGTGTTGTTTGTGGTTTTTTTTTAATTCAAACTATTTAAATAATTATTAACTGATATTGATAATATCTCTCATTTGAGAATTTACAAACCCTTACTTAAACATTAACAAACTCTGTCCATACACCCAAGAGGAAAGCGTTCTGCACTCTTGTGGTGAGTGGGAAACATGGTGCCCTAGTTGGTTAATAGAAGAATTAGAAGTATATGGAAAACACCTCCCTGACAATATGCTAACTTACGGAAACACCCTGGCTAAATTTGATTTAGCTGAAGAGCCCCAGGTATCTTCATCTTACCATTGGGAAGTGATTTAATTTTTATTTTATACAACAAGCAAGCAAAACAAGCAATCCAGTTTGGAAGGGAATGGCCCAGCATGAATTGTGCATAAGGGATAATTTTGTTCAGCTCTAAATCCTGCTTGTGTTTCAGAATGCAAAAGAAAAGGTATCTCAAGAGAAGGATTCCTGGGTGACACCAACGTGGAAGGTCCCCAGCTGCTGAACAGGCTGCCCCAAGTCCCCACCCTGCCGGCGAGCTGTGCCGTCATGTCTTGGCAGTGACAATCCTGCAGCCCCCGCAGCTGTAAACAAACCCTCTTCGTTCCTAATTATCAGGAATGGTTTCCCAGTGGACTGGCTTGCTGTCCTCACTGGTCATGTAGGTGCACTTGAAAACCAGCTCAAGGAAAGTGGTGGGAAGGTGTCCTGGGCAGAGAACGCAGAAGGACGCTTCAGTAACCACATCGTCTTCTCTTGCTGTAAGCTGCTTCTGAAGCAGTGCCACTCTGAGTAGCCCACACCCACCAACCAGGCCACAACCTTGCAATAGCTACTAGTCACTGGGCACGTTTCCTGGCGTATGTACAGTTATCATGTTTAAATGCACAAAGTGGATGGCTGTGTGGCCGCTGAGTTGTAAAAGGGAACTGTAAACCATCAGGAACTTATTTACATGTGCAATTATGTTATTTACGTGCAAAGAAGAGGAGCCTGCACCTGTTCTCACATGTAAATAGACTGTGTGGTCCTGACTGAGAGCTCTGAAAGTAGCACAATAAATGCAAGTAGCACCATTTACAAGGTATTTATTGTCACTGCCCGCAGTGCCCTGGAGCACCACCCATGTGGACTTGCTTCTGGGGAGTAGGAAGGTGCTGGTTCAGTGCAGGGGGCACATGAGAAGACCAAGAGACTCCATGGGATGATGAGATGGGGGTCTTTCTCCAGGTACTTCACGTAAATCTCTGCGCTGCCACTTCTTGCTTAGCCGTGCCCTGCGGGGTTAAAGTTCTGTTAGGTGAAGCAGATTGGCCATTGTCTCTATCGGTGAACATGAAGATGTTTTGCTATGGCAGTAGCTTTTTCTCAGGAGTGGAAACAAGGGCTGGGATGCAGAAAGTGAGTAATAGATTAAGAAGGATCAGACGAGGATTTTTTGCTGATGTATTTACATCTAGGTGTATGGAAAAGACTTTTTGCTGATGTAAGAATGATAAATATGTTTCCTAGGTAATATTTTATTATATCTCAGAATGTTTCTAGTGTAAAACTGGCCTTGGGCTGTTATCTCTATGTGTTTCTCGTCTTGTGCTTCTCTGTAGAGTTCCTACCAGCATTCCCCAGCTGTTTAGTTTTCCGATATAAATCTAAAGAGTCTACAAATGAAAAGTCTGCTAGATACCATGAGGATGTTTTCCATGTCCAGATGGACTAGCTCTCTCGTCACTAACTTTCTCTTTAATGTGATGTGACCAGGGTAGCTTGTTTTTCCTTTACTTGTGTTGTTGCACAGTAGGTAATGTGGGAAATGGTCTTTAGCTGTAGAGGTGTTGGTATGATGGATCTAGCGGCAAAATCATGGACTTGCTAGGAACGTTTGTCCTCCCCACTCCTGCCTGAAGGGGAAGGATGTAGAACTTGATTCCACTCCCCTTATTGGAGTTTTTTTTTTGAGAATCCTCTTGACTTCAGCATAGTTTTTTTTGGATTGAAACATGAGGAAATGAATGAGGGTTAAGCCCATAAATTTTAGAATAGGAAAATGCAGTAGAGTTTCTTTAATGGAACATGGTCAGTACACAGTGCCAAGAAATTGCTGTGGTTTCTCTTCTTGGTTTAACATGACTTTGACTGATGGTACTGTAAAAGAACAACTTTATGTACCGAAATTTAAATTGCTATTTAAAAAGAATGTTGCTTGTTGAAGATATTAAAGTAAGGCAGGTTTAGTAATATCGTACTTGCAAGAGCTGTTCTGTATTACCAGCTGTATGTTTCTGAGCAAGAATACATCACATTCCATCTAAAAATGTACCACAAGAAGACATAGAAATATGATCCTTGTATAATTGGGGGTTTTTAATGAAGAAATGGTGCACTTCTACCTGGCAGCAGGTACCTGTCTTTGGTTTTGACGCTGCTTATTTTGTGGCTCAGTTTTCAGTCATTTCTGGTTTTGCCAAATTTGAACTGTTTGTGTTGAAATTGCCTATGTTACCTATTAGCTGTAGTGAAATTTCTGAGAAACCTTTGAGCAATTTCAGGGCAGTGGTACTTGCAGGGTACCAACAGCTATTTCCTAGTTTCAGAAGAGCTTGCGGTGAAAGAGAAGCAATTCAGATGCGTTGGAAAAGGCAAATCCTGCTTTAATTGCAGCAAGCGGGGAAATCCTGCTATGCTCACCTGGGACCCGAGACAGGCTCTTGGTGCCTATTGATGCTTGCAGAATTAGGCTACAACACCTAGAAACTTCTAGGAGTCCATGTGACATTTCTCTGAGTAACAAATGAGTATATTACTGGCAATGAAATGCAGATGAATGAAGCAGCTTAGACGAAAACCGAGAGAAGTTATTTACCTGAGGAGATTCACTGTAAGAGTAGGAGTGAGTTTTGGTTATGTTTTTTTTGGTGCTGATTCAGACAGGTTCTGAAGCGTGCGCTCCTACCCTACATGTGAGAGGGGGAGCTTGCTTCTTTCCAGTTTAATCATAATATCAGGGAGAGTGGTAAAACCAACTCTCTCCAGAAATCCTTGCAAAATCGATGAGGAAGCAGATAAAACCATCAATGTGCTTCTCCCTTCCTGAATCTGTTAGCAAAAAATTTTGGTGATTCGAACAAGAGCTCCCTCAGCATCTTTCTCAGAGACAAGAGGTCACCTTCTATCAGTTCATTAAACAAGGGGCTGCTGTGAGCTTTGTGCTGCAACCAGGCAGTAAGGGAAATCCGCCTCTTGAATGGGGGTCTGTTCAGGCCAGTCATGTGTTCCTGGCTGCAAATCTGGTCTATTATCATGGTGCTTTTTTGGAGTTTACTTTCCATGGGAAATCCTAACGTGGGAAAATGAAACACATTTCGCTTCTGAGGAGAAGTGGTTCAGCTCCGGAATATAATGGAAGCTGAAACTAAGACCTGAAAACATTGCATTACTTGGATTTTTTTTGTTTCAGTTTTGATTTCTTATTTTTTTGTAATCTATTTTTAGTAGGTGGGACTGAGAAAGTTATGTAGTGCTTGTGCTGCTTGAGGATGGTGTATTAATGTCCTGCTGATAAATTCTTATTTTAAGTAGTCCTTAAAAACTGATATTTGTATTCCCATGGGCATCAACCCCCAAATATCTTTTAAAGGTAAGGTCGCAGTGGCTCCAGGAGGGAGCATTGGAAAGTTAAAGGGATCCACTGGAAATCAAAATGGTTTTAAGAGAAATGATGGAAAGTCACGATGCTAAACTTGGTCTTGATGTAAGTCTAGTCCAAAAGAAGACAGCTACTATGGTCCTCAAACTGCATGGCCCGTAATACGCACCCTTCTTTGAGTGAGTTCACTTGGAGGTTCAGCATTGCATTGAGCTCTGGGGTACCAAAACTCCTTGCTGCACAGATCAAGAATGGGTGGCCTAAGGAAAATAGATCGACCAGGTAAACTGAGATTGAAGGTGGTCAGAAATTCCTAATATATGGCAGATGGATATGAAACAGTCCCTGTGCCGTAAGAATACAATCCCCTGCAAATGCATAATCTGTTTCTCGTGAAAGACATGTGGCCCAATATAGAAGTTGTAGGTCAACTGATTCAGTTAAAGATTAGCCTCAATATTCTGAAAGAGAAGACTGTAGTTACTTATGGACTTTAATTCCTTATAAAGGATTATACTGGGCAGCACACTACTGCTACAGTGTCCAATCTTTGTGTGGGCTTGCTAAATTAACCTTTGTAATAGAAAGGCTTCTTATGTGCTTCCAGTCAAAAGAAGAGATGGTTTTAAGTTTGCAGTGACTTAAAATGCCAGTGATTGGAATCCTGATCTAAAATTCATAGTTTTTTCTACTTGTTCTTAAATCATGTTTCTCTACTGTTTTGCAAATGAGTTGCAGAGATGTGTCCCACTCTGATTTAACATTATGTGCAGTATATTTAAAATAGAAATCTCCATCAGAGGGGCAGAGACAAGTGCAGGTAATGAGGGGGAAAATACTGCAATTAAGGGTAAACTGATTATCATTTGTGAAATTATGTCTGGAAAAGTGGTTTTAATGGATGTAATGTTAAATCTCACAGTCATATATAGTGAGAGGAAAGGCTTCGGTTTTAGGTTAATGGTATGTTTTCAGACAATGTCCGTGTATTTTAGGTTCTACCTCACAGGGTTTTCATGGCAATACACATTCTTTATGCTCACCAATAAATTTCTGCAGTATTTACTGTCCTGATCTCGAAACTCATGATGAGCTGACTATTGTGAAACTCTGAAAAGAACCCTTTACCCTGGAAACGTGGGTTAGAACAAACCCGTACAACAGAAACTGAAGTAATGAAGTTGCCGTGTGATGTTCTGTGATGTTGAACTGCTTTGTGGGATGGACAGAGAGTAGAGAGAGACACCAATGAGTACTTTACAAGTACACTACATGTGGGACCCAGTGGAAGATATCTTATCCCAGTGGAAGTTAAAGACAGGCCAGCTTGCCCAGCTTCGGACCAGTGGGAGAAAAGAGTTCCCAGCTGTGTATAACTTGTGTGTGTGGTTGGTTTGTGTGTAATGCAAATAATTGGTGGTAAAGTCTAATGTCTCAGTCCTTCACAAATTTCATAGGCTTCTGAGGTAACTGGTTCTCATTAAACTTAAGAGGTAGTACAAAGGAGTTTGTCTCTATAGATCCAATTTACTAAATATTTTTATGTTTGAAAGGTCTAATCTCTTCCTTGCACTTTCCCTTCAAATGCTGATTTTGAAGGGTGATCATCAGCATGAGCTTGTTGACCTTGTCTGGGTGCCATGAGTTTCTCTCGTTGAAGGAACTGTTCCTTTTGATTGATTTGTCTTTGCTTTTGTTCTTACGACTTGTGCCATAAACAGGCACAGTGAATTTACTGCTCTTTTCATACCCGTGACAACTTGTAGCTTCCAAACAAGTTGTTTCGTTAAGGTCCAGAACAAAGATTTTAGAATAAAATATTACTGGCTTGTTTAAAAAAACAGACACTCAATAAATCTCTTATTTTGACACATTTGGTCAATGACATTTTCTAGGACATTTGCCATAAAAATGGTAGGATCAAATATTTCTAGAGAGTTTTTGTGGCTACTGTTTTCCTCCTGGGCTGAGGAATGTACAGAGAAGAGTATTTGCTGTGGATTTAGGAGACCCCATGGCAGCATGACATTAATGGTTTCAGCACAAAAGTTTGCTCTTTGAGCTATTGAAATTGCTTGAACTGAGACTAGAGAAAGGAAGACAATTCCGAGAGAATGCTGAGTGGGGATGGAAGAAAGGAAGAAAGCATGGAGTTAGGAAGAAAGAGAAATCAGAAGAAAATAATTCACAATTCATTTGCTAGGGTGTTGCAGACAACGTGATTTTCTTTTAGAGCATTTCAATGTTCCGGTTACAACATATGCTAGTGGTAATCATGGGACTGGGATAGTTCACATGTGGAATATAAATAATATAAATGCTGCCTGCATATGCACCAGTATGGCAAAATGCATTGCCAAATCCCAACCCTGAATGTAGATGAATATTCCATCTTTCTGTTTTGGTTTTAATTTAATCGCAGAAAGATTTTCAACATACGAGTTTTGTGACCCCTTGCTTAATAACATTTTTTAACTATTAAAAGTTCTAACTAAAACCACTGGTAGTTAAAATAAAGTAAGGAAGCAAAAAATTAAAAGTGAAAGAGATCCTGAAAAAAAGAGATCCTGAAAAGTTTAAATTTCAGTCAGGACTCTCTCCACCCTTTCCATCCAGTCCTTACACCTTAAAATGGGAATCATGCAGGACGAGATGGAAGCAATTAAGTGCAAATCTGGAATTGTCATTGGAGTCCAGTTTGCTTACACTTGCAATAACTTGAAGTTTGGGGTTTAAATTAGTTTGGGGTTTAAACTAAAGTTTGTTGACAAAGGTAATTTACTCAGGAATAAGGTGAGATATTCGAAGTTGGTGGTGTGGTTATTCTAGAACAGCTCTGCATGAGGACATAATTACTGTGGCATGATCTTCTGAAGTGAATTAATCTAAATGAGAAAAAAAAAACACTCCAAAACAACAAAAACAACCCAACCTTCATGTTCTTAATCTGGAATAAGTATTTCCCTAGGAAATATTTTTACGGCGTTATTGTGGGGAGTCTCCTTGTCTAGACAAACCTTTAGTGTTCTTATCATAAGAGAGAATTAAATGGGTTTGTCTTTTCCTGTATGTCTCCTTTTGCTTAGTTTCTTGTCGTACCTCTTTTAGAGGGGAATGAGGGAAGGAATAGGGTTTTGCCTTTGAGCTCATGGCTGTTACTCTATAAGAAGTTGTTGTTTTGGTGAGGGGACAGAATTTTGACATTGAAGCTGCAGTGATTGGAGGGCAGTCTGCTCCAAAGCTGTGGAATTACATCAGCTGTGAAATCTTGGGTAATTTAAGGATGCCAAGCATCCGAGTATGCCAAGTATCCCAGTATGCCAAGCATCCTAGATGCCAAGTATCCTAAAGATGCCAGCATCCTAGTGAAACACTCTGAGAAGACACTTAGAAAATGGTGGCAAGGCTTCTTAGCCCTGTTTGAAAATTTTCCTAGAGTGAACCAAGAGTGTGTGATCCTGTAATCCCACCATACTGCTTGTGTAGCGGGAGGAGGTTGCTCCTCCCACTCAGAAATTGGCTTTTGTTTGGTTTTGCAGCATGCTGATCTCAGCATCAGTTTCCCAGCAGGTAACTGCTAATGCCTCTTTGTCATCACTGTTTAGTGAAAATGAGCCTTCATTGCTCCCTAGACGTCATTGCATGGGGTTCAGTGAACTCTGCTTTCTTCCTTCAGGTTATAAGACCCTTTTGAAAGGAATTTCAGGGAAGTTCAGCAGTGGAGAACTTGTTGCGATTATGGGTCCTTCAGGCGCTGGGAAGTCAACGCTCATGAACATTCTGGCAGGATACAGGTCAGTAACAATGAAAATCCCAAGCAAGGTGGTCTCCTTGGAGACAACAGCCGAAGAAATATTACCACAGTGTTTGCAGACAACAGGTATTTCACAGCTTTTGAAATAGGTTCTTATTGCTTAGATTTTCTCTGTTTGTCTTGATCTGGTCACTTTGGACTTAACTTGTTAACAAATCCGATCCAAAAATAGGAAGCAATTTAAACTCCAAAGCACCAAACAAAATTCTATCTGTGTAACAAATCTGAGTCAGTGTCTTATGTTTATGATATTTTTAAAGTCACATTTTACAAACACTTGAAAAGATGACCCTTTTTAGTTGTCAATTTCGTAACGTTGGTATCTTCTTGACCAAACTTCAATACATGAAGTAGCTGTGTTTCATCTTCCTGAATCCCCTGCTGTATGCCTCTGTCACTTGGGCGTAAGGAGCAGGACAGAGAAACCTAAAAAAAAAAGGCTTCATATTTTTTCAGACTTTCATATAAGACAGCACACATTTTGTACTTACTTTGAGGAAAATTTTTCGGCAACATTTCATAAAGCCTCTTATGAAAGAGAGCTTAATAATGAAGTAATTTCTATCCACTGTATCAATTTTATTTCAATAAATAAAGTGGGCAGTAATTACCTAAGACTTGCAGATACTGAGGCCTGTGACAGCACCAGTGAAGGCAAGATTCATCTCTGGTTATTTTCTTGGTTTATTTCAGAGAGACAGGAATGAAAGGAGAAATTCTGATCAATGGACAGCCTCGTGACCTGCGTTCTTTTCGCAAAGTCTCCTGCTACATCATGCAAGATGACATGCTCCTTCCCCATCTGACTGTCCAGGAAGCTATGATGGTGAGCTTTGTTTCTTGCTCTAATTTACTTGGGTGGGAGAACATGGAAAAATCTCCGTGTATTGTGCACATGTTCTTACTCCTTGTAGTGCCACGAGCTGTTATGTCAATGGAAGTGCTTGAGCTTTGATGATGCCTTCAAATCCATTTCAGGCTCATCCTTCTAGGGGTTGCCTGAGCTTCTTTAGCTTTGTTGTTTCCAGTTTGTGACCAGCATTATGATTTGGAGAAAGTTGAAAGGTTCTGCTCCTTAGAGCTCCTGGAGAATGGAATCTAAAATTTTGTACAGAATGAGCCTTTGTAGGAAGCGTCTTTTTTCTTGGATGATAAATGAACCTTTCTTTCTCACCATCTTCCATTTCTGAGTACAAAGTGCTATTTTGACTTGAGCATGGTGTCTCTGCTACTTCTGCTATTTTGTGCCTTGTCTTTAATAAAGACATTGTATAAAATCTCTTCTAATTCCTCACAGGAAAACAACAGGAACAGAATAATCCCAAGACATATAGGCAAAGTAAATTTTTCTTACTGGTTTTCGTAGCATCAAGAAGTTTACTACTTGCCAGCTTCACTAATCAGTCTAGAAGTGCCTGTTGCTCCATTTTTGAAATGAGCTGTTTTTTTCTCAGAGGTTGTTATCAAAATAAGGCTAAAGTTGTTCATACTCTATGCCAGCATTGATTCACAAATTTTAAGGCCAGAAGAAATGACTGTAGTTTTTATGTTGTTAATTTTCTGCAAAGGCTCTTCTCTGTGAGAGAGTTTTTCTTCTCTTTTGTTTACTTGAATATTGTAGTCAGAAACCATAGCACCACTTTTTTAGGATCAGGCCCAGATGATAGTTGCTGTCTAAATTAATCAATCAAGGCTCTGACAAAAATAATTACCTAACAGTTTAATTGTTTCTAATAAGGGTTAATCATAATGTTTTGTGGAGCTGCCTCTTAGGACAGCAGATGACATCTTTCACAAGATTGTTTATTTCTGTACTCATTTGTTCACATGCTGGAAAATGTCAGAGTTTAGTTATCCTTTTGATATGGATGAAGCCCAAATAAACTAATTCTAGCATTTCCTGGGGAGATAGTGGCTATGCAAAAAACACGACTCGCTCACCTTCAAGCCATTTCACTTGCAGAATGGCCTTTCTTTCTTATATACTTTTTGTCAGATGCTTGAGTGATTGCTTAAGCCAGACTATACTCCATTACCTGCTGTTCAGGCATATGTGATCCTTGTGATTTGAACATTATGGTTCAACTTAAACTTTCCTGACTGGATTGAAAGAATTTATTTAAGTGGTACACTGGGATGTTGTGCCTGAGACATCTACTGTAAGTGGTTGCTGTGCTTCAGACTAGTTCAAAAACAAATTCCATTGTATTGCATTCCAGGTATCTGCTCATCTGAAACTTCAAGAGAAAGATGAAGGCAGGAGAGAAATGGTATGTATACTGTCCATCAAACTGAGAATTTTGGGGGATGCCAAAGAGGTCTATGAAGTGGGCTTTGTAAACTAGACATTTTTATCTAACATTGAATTGCACTGGACTTGTAGTGATAGAATAAATCATAATATCATTATGAAGGAATGTTTACTACACTTACCGTGAAAGTTGCTTTCAGTATGAGACTGAGTGGATAATTGTAAAAGATCTGCTGAAATAAATTCATGGGGTTTGTAGGATTCCTTTTAATGTGCCTTAGCACATTAGATTCTCTTACATGTATCTGAGGGCTCAGACATCTCATAAATCAGTCATGTCTGGCAATGGTGATGGTAGGCCTTAATTCTTCCAAGGACTGACGGAAAACTCAGCAGTTCTTGTAACTGCTGCACAGTTTTCTGTACTCGGGTTTGAAAGCTTTGGATATTTATGGCTGTGCTGGTGGGCATATTGTTGCAGTGGACAGTTGCAATGAAGATAAATAGTAATGCATTTTGAAGCTCTGTTGGGTAACTGAGGTTTGGACAATTAGGAAACCAGGCTAAAACATGCACGAGTCTTTTCTAAAACACTGGGAATGAGTTGCACCATTTGCTCTTTTACATTTGCTGCAATGTTCTGCTTTTGCCTGTGGCTGACATATGACTTTCCTGAGTGGGAGAGAAATCCTTGTGTGTTTTTGCCCATGGAGGCCTAAAATCCAGCTGGACCTGCACTGGGAAGCGTGCTCCTCTCACCCATCTGATTGCCACAATCCCTCCCCATCATTTATTCTGACATAGGGCTGTCTTTTTAAAGAAAATACCTTGGAAGTGTGTGACCGGATGAAACGGCTTCTGACTTGTCAGTTTGTGCACGAAGCAGCTTTCTCAACTGGTGGTTATACTTTAAAGGGCTGGAAATGTGCCCTTTCTACACATTTATTCTGCACTTAGAATGGCTGGAGTTTTTGTGTTCCTAAGGACACTCAGAGCTTGAGTGGGGTTACCAGAGCATGCTGAAGCCTAGAAGAGGAGCAGTTCCGTGCTGCACAGTGTCTTCCAAAGCCACGTGTGCCCAGGGAGGATAATGTCTGGGGCTAATCATAAACAAAAAAATCACAGCGCTGGTGAAAGCAGATGTGGTTCAGGTTGTTCATAGAGCTGTGAGAAGTGAAAACAGTAGCTTACAAAGTGTTTGGAGGTGATTTTGGCTGGCGTTGAGCTATGCTTCAGTCCAACGTAAGACAGCACCGGCAAGGACTGTATGATCTCTCATACACTGCCTCCTCAACGAGGAAGCCTCTGTTACGTGTGAGTTGTGCTGAAGGCTTGTGAACTCATGTGATAGCATGGCCCCATGGCTAATGGTGAGATTTACCTTCCAAGAAAGCTGTCTGCTGCTTCCGTCTTGATTGGAAATACGGATGTTTCTCTGGAGAAGACTTCTATTGGTGTACCACCTCAGTTGTCCCACAAATGAAGAGGGAGTTACTGCTGGTATAGGAAGCTGTCAGTGTTTTTCTGTACTTCTATAAAATTCAAGTTTTGGTTGTTCCATGATTTTTCAGTGTTCTTCATAAACAGAAAGAAAGGTGAGATTTCCGTTTTGATCCATTTTGTGCTCCCAGAGATGAGTACTGAGGAGCCCCTTCATGGCCAAACGAGGAAATCATGCAGGTGACTGGAAGAAGCTCTACAGAAACCACAGATTTTTCTTATACAGTTCTCCAATCTATTGTAAATAGAGCCTAGAAGTTCTACTGAAAGAAGCTTCTTGGTTTCACTGCTTCAAAGGTCTTTTGATATTCGTGTTATATCCAAGGGGTGCTATAGAAGAACTGATCTCAACTCCATTTTCACAGGCAAGGCTTCCTTACTGAGACAGGTCAAGTAGGATAAGCAAGGAAAAACTGTGTTAAAATAGTAAATGATAGACTGTTAAGCCCCACTGAATCTAATAAATGCCACATTCGATGGAAAAAGGCTTCTGTGTACGGATGTTGAAAGAAAATTATGAACTAGTTTATATTTCTCATGAAAATAGGTAAAGAGGCTTTTCTGTTGTGCTAATAAGTTTAAATGACATGTTGATTTTTGACTCTAGGTAAAGGAAATATTGACAGCTCTCGGTTTGCTGACATGTGCCAATACAAGGACTGGGAGTCTTTCTGGAGGCCAGAGGAAGCGTCTTGCCATTGCTCTGGAACTAGTGAACAACCCTCCTGTCATGTTTTTTGATGAACCAACTAGGTACTTCAAGTCAAAAAAAGTAGAGATAGACAAATACTGCTTTCTGTAGTAGGACAGTGCTGCAGAAAGGTTATTCACCTCTAAGTCATTGGAAAATGTTAAATTTTGTGTTGCCCGCAAGTACTGACTAAGGCCACAGAAGTAATTTGATTTGGGTACTTGATGCCTTGGGTCACTTCTGTAACCAGCAGCCCATGGAACTATAAATAGTTATTAAGGGAGACACAAACAGCAAGGAAGAAAGAGAGGAAAATATTTTCAGGTTGTGGCATGATTTTTCTTTTTCAAGCAAAGATAGCTTGAATATAAGCATTTTAAACTGTGACTTTTGATAATGAACGTAGCATATTTAGAATTGAATTCTGTGATCAGTCTAGGAGTAGGCTGGGGAACTATGAATATGTATCTGTTCATCAGAGTTGGGAGCATTTAAATCTGTGGTCCTAAAATGTAGAAGTCCCTTAAGGCGGCTTTGAGAATACTGTTTTTCATTCCCAGGCATGCTTCCAACTTAATTAAAAGACCGATGGAGAAATACAAGCGTAAGGTTGGCATATGATAAAATTAAACTGCTACAGAGAAAATTTATAAAAGGATAATTGTGAGAGACCAAAGTAGCAAATACATGTGCTAGTTTTGAGGGGTGCCTATTGACCTGTGGTTAACAAACTTCTTTCTTTTCATTCAGCGGCTTGGATAGTGCGTCATGTTTTCAGGTTGTCTCTCTGATGAAGGCTTTAGCCCAGGGTGGCAGGTCCATCATCTGCACGATTCACCAGCCCAGTGCTAAACTGTTCGAGTTGTTTGATCAGGTATATTCTCAAACTCTTTCTCTTTATGTGTGGTTTAGGTAAATTAGGTTTAGGTAAGTTAGGTGGTTTAGGTAAGTTACACTTTGAAGGCTACACTCTTTAAGTAAAAAAATGAGTAATTCTAGTCTGCGGTTCCAAATCAAGTAAATTAAATAAATAAGGGGAAATTAAATATTTTCCTTATGTTTTTTTTTCATCTTTTCTGCCCATCTCCGTTATTTACATGTAATATTTTTAAAGAATCTGGCTGATATGTTTGTGAAATCATGATTATCGCACTTGCGGTTTTCACATCTTCACTCACTACTGCTCCTGGGCACAGGGCTGTCAGTAAAGTAAATTAGACTAATTTAAAAGCAAGACAGGCTTAGTGCCAATGTCTGCATGTTGCTAGTACACATTCTAATCCCAGCTACATAAATGTAAATGCAGAAGAGTTTATTCATGTGAAATAATAATAATAGAAATGAAGTCAGATAAAGATCTTTTCTCCAACCTAACAAGATGTGGACCATGCTTGTTTGTTAGATTTCAATTTACTTAAATCTTGTTAGGAGATTTAAAATAGACCTATGAGAGCTAAGAGAAAGCCTACTACACCACAGGTGAACAATCTCTTGCAGACTGCCAGTCTGGCAAGGAGGAATATTTAAAGTCAATAGTGTGGCTAAAATTAAGAATAATCAAGCTACTTTTCCTTGCTGTGCTGTTCCACCTCTCCTTCCATTCCTGCATTCACTAGCTTCGTTTCCCAGCCCAAAGTATCCACAATGTGTGGAAATTAGATAGCTCAGCTCAACAGTTTCTTGCCTATTTTCAGCATGTGTCTAAGGCTGGAATTAGTTTGTTTCTGTGTTAAGGTATTTAAATACCTGGAGGGAATGTTTGCAGAATTCAAACCTTAGGCATTTAATTTTCCATTAGTTGTAATTCCATGCAAAGGTAGTTCCAAGTGGTGACATATCTTCCCAAGGTGTTCTTCCCACAGGTACAAGAAGAGGTCATTGGGTTCATGGACTGCTGTCATACAGAGAGCAGGTTCGAATATTTTGATACTATTTCACAATTTTCTTTTCCTTTTCATTTTCTTTTTCTCTTCTTTGTTTTCCAGCTCTATGTTCTAAGTCAAGGCCAATGCATTTACCGTGGAAAGGTATTAAATCTAGTCCCTTATTTGAGAGATTTGGGGTTGAATTGTCCAACCTACCACAATCCAGCAGATTTTGGTAAGTACAACTTGAATAGTTTGTTTGGTTTATTCTGTATTTGACTAGCAGCTTTAGGTTAATGGAGACTGTGGTGTGTTTTATACTTTTGTACATACGTGCAGACATGCATACATATATATGTGTCTGTGTACATACGTGTATCCAAATTGAAAAAAATATTCAGACTTTTCTAAGTAATTTGAATGCCATCTAGTGGTAAAATTTAGTGAGTATTTCTCTCTGGTGGAAGTCCAGGTCCAGGAAACGAAAGATAAAACATACTCTTTAGTGTTTCATAGTAATTAATCTTAGTGTCATTTCAAAGTGTCTCCAGTATTCTGGTTTTTAATCTTGAACCATACCACTGTGGTTTTGTACAGCTAATAGCATTGTGGGTTTTTTTCGTTATTATTTCTTCATTCTGAAGAAGCACTAAACCCCACAAAAATAGATTTTTGTTATTTTTTATTAACAGAGCTATCTCACATTCACTGCCTTGCCTCTGAAATGGTTCGTTTGTATTGGAGGATAAAGAGAACTCTCTGAAGTTATAGAAAGATATATTTAAATTGTGTGGGCATACATATGGATTTACATGTGGCATTTCAGAGCCCCTTCTAGACAAAACTCTGGTTCCTGTCAATGCCACAAAATCAAGGGGATCTAATAATGAGACTTGTAACTACTCAGTAGTGTAAACCAGTAACGTGCCTTCTGGTTTTTGTAGTTATGGAAGTGGCATCTGGTGAATATGGGGACCAGAACAGCAGGCTGGTAAGAGCAGTACGGGAGAGGATATGTGACACGGACTACAAGAGAGATGTTGGAGAGAATGAGTTGAATCCCTTCCTCTGGCACCGGCCTTCTGAAGAGGTATTTTTTGTATAATGGGCATGGCTTGGGGCTGGAGAGGGAGGAAGATAATTTGAATCCTTCTCAGTGAAGAAGGTTTCTGGGCACATTCAGCTGATTAGAGTAGGGTTTTGTGAATGAAAACTAAGCAAGATACTGCAAAGAAAGAAGTTTATTCTTTTCTGTGTTTCCGCAGGATTCCTCCTCCACAGAAGGCTGCCACAGCTTCTCTGCCAGCTGCTTAACCCAGTTCTGTATCCTCTTCAAAAGAACTTTTCTCACCATCATGAGGGATTCGGTAAGACTGCCTTTATAATAACTTTTGTAGCCAAAAGGTCTATTCAGGCAGTTGTGAGGGAGTGCAATACGCCTGGAAGCTTCTGTCCAATAGCCCATGCATGAAGATCATCACAGAATTTCAAAGGAAAGAGGCTGATCATTCAGTCTTGATATTGACTTGTACTGTCTTTATTGTGAATTTCGTCAGAAGAACTGAGAAGCATCTGGCCTAAAAACCTAAAGCTTAAATCCTGCGCTCACAGATCCCTTATACAGTTATTTATCCTACTGAAAAGTGAGTGAGAAATTGTACTGGTGTGTCACAAAATTAGTTTTCTCAGAACATTCAGTGTGGCAGAGGTAATAATTTCAAAGTGATGTAAGATTAGAATTTAAAGTATTTGTTTTTGAAACAGGAAATTGGTAAATAAAAATTTTGCTTCTCTGAAAGGGAATATTTCTGTGTTCATGCATTTAATGTCAAGATGATGTAAACATCATAATGCAACTCTTCATTCCCAAAGAAAAAAACACAGTCGTTCACCTTTTTTTCTTAAAAATACAGGGCTGCCTTCAAAATCCCAAACCCTGCAGTTTTTAGGTGTGTTCACTAAATGTTTTAGGTTCCTAGGTTGCATTAAGAAAATGCAATGGAACTTTTTTTACTCAAAAAAGTTTTTCTTGTCTCTTAAGTAGCTGAGTTGTTGGTGAATTTAAAAAGTAGGACTATTTACATTATCTGATTCATGCTTTGAAATGTCTTCTAAATAGGATTGTCCCTTCATCAACAGCCGTGAGTTAAAGAGATGAGCTTCTTCATGTAGACCTTACACACACACTCGTCCAAGGAACTCACTCATGTACACTGTAATTGCTATTGGTTGGCCAAGTGCTTTTCCCTGTGGCAAATTTGCAGTTTGAGTCTGCTGCTTTTTCTGCATGTTGGAAGGTTTTCAGTGCTTTACATGAGTAGGGGGAAAGACAGTATATACATTCATATATACCAATGTATTAATTTGACACACCCATCCTTAGAAAAAAGGGGAAAGCCAGACAATGTATCTATTCTGGTCAGCACATGGTGGATTCCGATGAGGTAGTTTGGAAACCAAAAGCAGATGAGCCATGTTTCTCAGCATGAGTAAATTACCCATGTGACAGGGTGAACTGCGCTTTGCTGAGCTCCTGATGCTGCAGCTGCTTCTGCCTTGCACCCAGGCAGGTATCTCTTTAGGACACAACCGTTTCCAGTGTAGAACTACAGGCCTAGAAGAAATACACTGGACTGTTGTGTCCAGCCCTCTGCTGTCAGATAACCACAGCATTCCTTCCCTTTCAGAAAGGGAAACTGCTGAATGGCATAGTAAAAGCAATGAGCTGTTTTCCCGTCAGCTTTGGTTGGGAAGATACAGCAGAACCATGCAAAGATTCTGGTAGTTAGGAAGCATCTTCTAGTTTCCAGACCACACATGTTATGCCTGTTTGTTCTATTGCTGGCACGTTTCTTTGCCATAATATGTTCTTCTCCCTTGCTGTTTTACATTATAGTCCCTTTGTCATTCAAGGATTAATTAAGTTGTTCGCACATGTGGTCTAGTACACAATTTGGTCAAAAAAAATTTAATATATGTTCATGAGGGAGGGCTTTTGTAATCCAAAGCATATATATGGCTTCAGATTCTCTGTGTTGCTCAACTAGCTGATCAGAATGTTTCTGGTACACTCGGGGAGCGTATCTCAGGTGCAGAAGTACTTGCCATGGATCACATGGTCCTCTCTTTATCTCCATCAAGGGGAAACTGTAATTTATTTTCTGATATATAGATTGAAGAACAGTGTTGGTTTTAAGATTTTTTTTCTTGCTCAACTGTAAAGGCTTGCAGTTGATCCAAATTTTAATATTTCTTTTGTTCTGTAATGTTCTTCAGTGTGAGGATGGTGAGGCCCTAGCACAGGATGCCCAGAGAAGCTGTGGATGCCCCTGCCCATGGCAGGGGGATTGGAACTAGATGGTCTTCAAGGTCCTTTCCAACCCAAAGCATTCTGTGATTCTGTGATTCTAGGATTACAATTTTCCCTAGCTGAAGCTCAACGTTCCAGAAGGGAGTGAACATTTCTGTACAAGTTCTCCTGGACATAAGAACTCCTTTTCTGCAGTCTGTATATCTGATTTCAGTCATATTGCCATTGATTTTAAGGTCAGAGTTTCTGATCAGAAATACTGATCTTTCCTTCCTTGTAGGTCCTGACACACTTGCGTATCACCTCACACATTGGCATTGGGCTGCTCATCGGCTTGCTCTACTTAGGCATTGGCAATGAAGCTAAGAAAGTCCTCAGCAACTCCGGCTTCCTCTTTTTTTCCATGTTGTTTCTTATGTTTGCTGCGCTCATGCCTACTGTCCTTACATGTGAGTACCAGTCATCCCGTTACATCAATGGACAGGGAGATTGCAGTAAGCTGGGAGGGTGTCGTAATGTATCTGTTTCTTGTAAAATAACGGTTAAGTCTCCACATAAGGCTTGTGCTTTTACTTCTAAGACAGATATGGGGAATAATCTTGTACTCACTAAAGTTCTTTGTGGAGGCAGAGATAGGCTTGTCCATTGACACCTCTCCCCTGTTAAGTGATGTTTCTCAACTCGGACAGTTCACTGTTACAGCCCTGGACTGGAATTTCCCCTTGTGCCCATGCATCTCAACCATGTCATGAGCTTGTGGTTGGTCTTAGGGAGGATATAATAATTTCTCTAGAACTTCGAAGTATTGACTCCTGCACAAGATCAGTGTATTCGGGTGGTGTCAGAAGCAAACTCCTGTGGTGTGGACTGTTCCATACTTCCTCTGGGAACACTGTTACTTTGGATTCTCTGTTGGAGGAAAAGGTATAGACATCACTTTTAATTCCAAAAGCCTCTTTTAAGGGAGATTCGGATCATCTGAGTGGACTGAGCAGTGAGCATCTGTCAGGGCTGACCTCTTGGAAACTATTGCTGGCCTGTCAAAGGCCTCAGAGTTCCAGGCCCACTATGGCACTGCAGCACTACAGGATTAGACATGGATAAACTATGATATTCCATGCAACAATATTATTGCACACTGACAACCTAACTTACTAAATTGTGTTCTCTGTAGTTCCTCTTGAGATGGGAGTGTTTCTTAGAGAGCATCTGAACTACTGGTACAGCCTGAAAGCCTACTATCTCGCCAAAACTATGGCTGATGTTCCTTTTCAGGTATATGCTTCATTTTTCAATAAAACAAGAATCCTTTAAATTCATGGCAAGTCTTCTTACCAAGAAGATTTGTACTGGTATTTTATCCATCAGAATAGTGGAGAAACTGGCCATATGTGTATGCTGAAGCTTCAGGTCCAAATCAGAAGCACCCCAAGAGTAAGCAGCAGGACATCACAAAGGCTAAGACCTGACCCAATATTTTTTTAATAAGCTGGTGACCATGTTTGGTTTTTTGCAGAAGGGGAATTGAAAAGGGCTAACAGTAAGTGGGATCTGTTTTCTAATGCCTAAGTAGTAAGATAGGTATCACAGTTTGTGGCAGGTGTATTTATTCTCTTCAGCCATGCCTGTCATGTAATGGAAAGGCTGAGAGCTGTGGGTTAATTAGGACTCCCCATGTTTTTATGTTATTCAGAGTAGCAGTGAATGTTTGGCTTTAATGGACTAACTCCAAGTGTATCTATCTCTTTGCAGATCATGTTTCCTGTGGCTTACTGCAGCATTGTGTACTGGATGACTTCACAGCCATCTGATGCGCTTCGATTTGTCCTCTTTGCAGCCCTGGGAACCATGACATCCCTGGTGGCTCAGTCACTGGGTCTTCTCATAGGTGCAGCCTCTACATCCCTCCAGGTACTGATGGTGTTTTGTGGTCTCACAGGAACCTAGCACTGTCTTATAACACTGACTGCTTACTGTGACTGCTGCTGTGTCGCCAAGACATCTGTTAAAAGAGGCAAAAAGTTTTCTTGATCTGATGTAGCTACTTGATGCTTCCCACTAGCATCAACTCACATGCATGCGCTGGATGTGAGGCTCTGAGGATCCTTCCCCATCTCAATGGGCCTGTGCCTGTTACCTGCTTCAGAGTATTTTCACTTGCTATTTATCCCAGACAACAGATCCTAGAAATGGCACAAATGATGCATTTCTGTGCATCTACAAAGTGGAGGTAGGCCATGAGGAGATGGTTCTTCCATACTCATACAAAAAGGTTGCAGGAAGCAAGGTGGAAGAAGTCTTGCTCAGAAGCTAAACTTCTTCAGAGGGAAGGAGAAAAGCAGCTGTTGGTGTGACTGTCAAACTGGAGACTGACCACGTAATGAGTGAGGAAAGATAATATTTAGAAGGAGAGGTCTCATACCCAGAGAAGCAAGGGAATCACAGTGCCCATCTTGCTCTGTAAACCTCTTGGCAGGTTCAAGTCCCAGCATAGCAGAATTGTCAACTAGTGGAAGCATTTAGGAAGAGGAAAGGGACCCCTTTTCCTCCACTAACAGCACCTAACCTCCCCCTCACAAGAAATCTTCTAAAACAGTAATTTCCTCAGATTTGGAACTGTGATCATTTGGAGGAGTAGCATTGTAAGAAGGACTTGAATGGCATTGCTCCCCAACTGCCTAAGGAGTACGCGTACACTGACTATTTTGGCACATAGTAGAGGATTCAGCATAAAAGTCTACTCTTCTAGCAGCTGGTTTCCTCACTGGAGGTCAGGACATCAGATGAAAGAGCAAGTTAATTTTCATTTTTTTCTCTGGCTGTCTGACAAGAGACTGTCTATTCCTTCTTTTCACAGGTGGCCACTTTTGTGGGCCCAGTTACTGCTATCCCAGTGCTTCTGTTCTCTGGGTTTTTTGTCAGCTTTGATACCATCCCAACATACCTCCAGTGGATGTCCTACATTTCCTATGTCAGGTACTTCTAGGGAGGCCATGAACCTCTGGAAACGTTGTTTGGTTGGTTGGTTATTTTGGGTGCCAAAGAGGCTATGTTCACAGTCTTTTAGAGTGTAAATGTACATATGATGTCCACAACATTATCTCACTGCATTCTATGCTGTATATTATGTGAAATAAATAGGAACATTCAGTACAGATTGTTGGCCACAAGCCCATGTCAGTCCCCTTGAATTCAGTGGAATTGCATGGCATGCAAATCCTCCTGGATTTCGCAATAGTGAATTTCTGTAATAATAGGGGCAATATGCCCAACTGACAAACTGATGTCAGCATCTCATTTTGGAAGAAAATACTGTATAAATCACTGCCATATCCTAGACAGGCTTTTTTGATACAGGCCCGTTTTTAAGTTTTGTAGTAGCACAGCCACAAGAGGCAAGGGATTTCTGTAATCTCTAATCTAAACTGGTGTTTCAAGAACTGTGGACATCTTACATCCTATCTGTGTCTGTCACTCTTGCTGTCTGAGATAGCTGTCTTAAGATGGGATGATTGCCATCAGGAAACCTCTGGAGGCTAACATAGAGTGATAGTTTAGACCAGACATTTAAATGTTTATAGCTAGAATAAGGTGAAGTAAATTTTCACATCCCCTTCTTCCCCAGCCTGCCCAAGATGCACTGTTACTGAGAAGACCCATGCTAAAACATCCTCTCATTTGGCAAGTGAGGTCTTATGCAGAGACCTATCAAAGATTAAGAGACTTCACCCCCTAAATTAGTAGCTAGAATTCCAGATGAGGCCTTAAGCTGTTGTCTAGCCCTTGTGGGATCTCCTGAAAACAGAGGGAGCTGTCATACGCATGGGATCCATGATGGTGGAAACTGCCGCACATTGAAGGAAAAAGAAGAGATATTCTAGATTGCTGATTTTAGTATATTTCTGACTTCAAAGCATAATTGTATCCCCATTGCTTTTTTTAAAAAAAAATTAACTAATGATGTCACTCTTTACAGAGGAATTTCTTAGTATGATCTGAAATTAGTCTGCTTTCTATTTTAACACTTTTCTTTGGAGAAATTGTGCTATACACTAACTGGAAGCAGTTAAAGGCAAAAGTTCTGTCCTTGTTCAGTCTTCTGGAAAATGCCAGTCATATGTCATTGGCTTGATTGTAACAGGGATAGAACTTGCGCCAAGACACGTATCAGAACGATATTGAACCCGTTGGAGTTTCAGCTGAGCTCTCGTAGGGATTGTATTGCTGATGGAATACTTCTCAGCAGGTTATTGGAGCTTTTCCTTGTAATCCATCCTTCTTCTTTCCAGATATGGGTTCGAAGGAGTTATTCTCTCCATCTATGGACTGGATCGAGAAGATCTGCACTGCGACAAGGATGACACTTGCCATTTTCAAAAGTCAGAGGCCATTCTGAGAGAGCTGGATGTAGAAAATGCCAAACTTTACCTGGACTTCATTGTTCTTGGAATTTTCTTCTTCTCTCTGCGCCTAATTGCCTATTTTGTTCTCAGATACAAAATCCGAGCAGAGAGGTAAAGGAAAAACAGCTGAAACGATGCAGTAGGGAGATCTTTAGACATGCAATAGAGGGCACTTGACATTGTCTCCCTGTGGCAAGGCCGGTCTCCAGTGCCCAGCTAGATGCTGTTACGACCTAGCCCATAGAGAACCACAATGGGATAGTGGACATATAGTGTTAAGCCAATCAGTCCAGCTGGGTTGGGTTGTGTCTTCATTACACTTTCTAGCTTTAACTAGGAAGAAGAAATAGAAGGGAATTTTACACCACAGAATATCAATACCGAGGCATTGTAACCGTAATAAAAAAAACAAACAAACCTGGCTGCAGGAACTTTCCTTATAAAAAACAATTTCATGATAGTCACTAGGGTATTAGTCCTGGTAGCCAGAATAGTATAGAATCATCTATAGTTGACCAGGTAATGAGATGCAAAATGAGGAATGCAAAGAAAATAGGATTCTCTCATCTTTTTAAATTCCGAGTTTCATCTTTGCAGTTTTCTATGTATTATTTTGCAATTATTTTCCACAAAATTACCCCTTCTGGCCAAAAGTCTGTAAATGTATTACTTAATAAGGTAAAGATATCTTTTTAATACAGATACTTTTTTAAAAACAAACCTAAAGTGATTCAAGTCATTATTTTTGTTTCTGTCTAAATTTAGAATTCTGGTGCTTTACTTGTCGAGCTGGTCTCATATCTGAAAACTGTAATTATAGGAGGAAAAGGCAGATTCTGAGTCTGCACTAAACCTGTGGTCCATGATTGGAAGCATCAATAGGTAGCACAGGCAGTCAAACATGTTCAAGCTGTCACTGAGTGATTGAAAAAACATTCTTTTACAGCGTCTTCTAAATCCTCAATATTTGGGATATTTAAAATACTAACTCTGCTCATTATCTGTTTGATCTACCTCCTGTGAATGAAAAAAATCAAAGCACTCCAAGGCTTGTTTTTATTTAAATTGAGAAAGGAGAATCTATCCCTAAAGCTTGAATGATTGTTAAAGCCTAATGGAGCGCAAGAGCTCTCCGCAGCTCAAAACTTAAAGCATTGTGTTAAAGACACTGTGACTGCCTCATGTGGCAGTGTTCCTTGTATCTGCAGCCTGCAATGTGTAAAGCTCTCCTCAAAATATACAAATCACCTTGTAATACTGAAGGTCTGATTATGGCAAGCAGTTTTGTTCTCATCTCAAAGTCTACAGGCATGACATGGGAATGAATAGCTAATCCATCTAAATGCCAATGAAAGTGTTAAAAGAAGCATGCATTTGTTTTGCATATCCCACCTTTGTAAACATGGCAGGGGGAATTCTCGTTCCAAGCTGACAGGAATTTTGTCACTGGTTTTCATGGGATTGGATTTTCAACCCCAAATGAAATTGTGGGGCCCATACTCAAACGTTGGGACACCCTGGTGAACTCCTGTGCAAATTCCACTACCTTCTGCCATTACTGTGCGTTTACCTTAGTGTCACAGACCTACAAATTCTGTAAATGCGTTGTTCCTATTAGGATGCTGAAGTCTTGTAGATGGGAAGCAGCTCAATGTCAGCAAACCTGTTCAGGAGCTCAGCAGCTCATGGCAGTAAGGTAAATGAAAAGAGGCCTTGGGCGTACCGGCATTCACAATTCACAGACTGTTTCTGAAGACCCCACGGCTGCTTCTATAGCAGGAATCTAAAAAGTGCCAGAGCCAGCTCTGTTAGTCCTCAGGCAACTGGGGGTTCCTCTTAAGGAATGGCCACTGTACTGCACCAACTTCTGAACAGAGCCCACACGTTGTCTGGAAAAGCTCCATTTGTGCTGGGCTCCAGCTCTGCCATTTAGCAGGGAAAACAATTGTTTCCCAGTTTTCCTGGCCTGTGCCCAGGTTCTGTTTAATTTGCCAATACAGACATAGACCACGAGTGTCTGTTAAACTCAGGATACTTGAATTAAACCTGTGTTCTGGAAGACTTTAAGTCAAGCCACTTGTTTTAGGAAGGTTAGCTGAACTTTCCCTGAAAACAAGATCAGCCTGTGAAAGCAAGGTCAATCTTTACTGTAGGAAAAAAAATAAAATCCTTACATGATTTCTTTGCATAGTTTTGTTGCTGTTTTTTTCATAAAAAGCTTTTATAGAGCTGTGAAGCTTTTCCAGGCATAATCACAAGCAGGTATGGATCTATATGGCTGTCAGATAGGAGAAATTAAGAATATTGGCCATTCTAAATAAAACTTACAACTACGAACAGTTTTTTAAAAATTCACAAGCTGAAATCCCCTGGCACAATATGCCTTGATTATTTCAAGACTCTTAAAAGATTTGTGACTATTCCAGGCAGTTCAGTTGCTGTTTGCAATCAGACAAAAGACTACATTTGCCAAATTACTCCTGTGGCACACTGCTGGTCCACCTGTAGGCTCGCCGAGCGTGAAAGAGGGTGACATCCATGACATTAAATACATTCAGGGTTCGTGTTTTATGTTTACCAAGATCATTTACCAAATAGTACATTGAAAATCCATTGCAGTGTACCAAGTGAAGTAGCTTTGCTGACATTTCAACGCTGTTAACTTACACGATGACAGTGCTGTCTTCTCCCATCTAGACCAATTTAGCAGTATGAGTTCCTTGCACGCTGTTTTGTTATCCATGCTTGTTCCACTGCTTGTAGACTTTCTTATGTTTACCTCTTCAGTCTGCAACATCTCCTCCTGCACTGTAATTTTGTATTGTATTATGGTAGCCGAAAGTCTGGTCCTCAATGGATGTTCCTAAGAAAATGCGTGCTCTGGAACAATTATGGTAGCCGAAAGTCTGGTCCTCAATGGGTGTTCCTAAGAAAATGCATGCTCTGGAACATTTTTTGTCGCTCCTTTTTTTGTTAGATTTGCTTTTTCTCAGCCATCTGCTGGTAGCGTTTAGCTGAAATTTACTGTTCTAGGAAACACTTTCAGACTGTAGTATCCCAGTAAAGAAATAAGTGAATTCTCTTGAAACTCAGTGCTACACATAAATGTGATAATAACTTTTTTCCTCCTTAGCTCTAAAATTCACAGAATGTTAGGGGTTGGAAGGGACCTCTGAAGATCATCTAGTCCAACCTTAAAATTGACTAGTGATATCTCTCTTGTCACTGCTGTGGGTCAGAAATGTTTAAAATCTGTCCCAATTATGATTTCACATACTGCAAAGATTTTTAACGTAGTCTCAGCTTGGCTTTTTTCTATTTATGTGGAAATAAATTCTAACAGGCTGATGTAAAACACATTCCCAGGTTACTGGGCTGAGCATGCATATGCTGTAGTGTTAAGCAAGCATAGTGAGAAGCTCTGGAGGCTTCACAAAGAAGAATACTGAGGCCAGCAGGATTCTAAAGGCTTCAAATCCTCAATTTATATAGCCATATATAAATAGCCATAAACTGGTTGAAATCAATGCCATTGTTACCATTCAAACCAGTCACAGTCTGGCTAGAAGTTGCTAAGAGGCTAAGGTTTCTTAAAGGTCTCTTGAAGACTGAATGTATGATTTTTGTTAGGATTGCAGGAGGACCTTAGAGTTCTGTTGACCTCCTTGTTTTGCTTTGACTTGTTTTGACATGTTGCTTTGGTTTCTGTGTGCATCAGTTGAGATGTTAGGTGCTTCAGATGATTTTTTGTTGTTTTTCTTTGGGGAAACTTGCATACAATCTGGAAAACCCTGAAAGTTTTTTAAAGAGAGCTTAAAATGTTGTTATTTATAATTAAATAAAATATTTGGAAAGCAGATTCTACTCACATAAGAAATCGAGAAAACGTCATCTTTATAGATCAAAGGGAGTAACAGCAGAATATCTGGTGCTGAAATCCTGTTCCCGTATTATTATTTGAAGCCCAGAACACGTTTTTCATTAAAGGACTGTGTATACACGTAATAGGGAGAGCTGGTTATGTAAGTGAGAGATAACCAACACTTAAGTCCAAGTACTGTGTGTATCAGGTGACTGCCGTTTCAATCTGCTGTTTTGTGTCAAAGTCTACATTGTCAACAGAAGTGAACATTGCACTAAACATTGGTTTCTGGAAAGAAGTGTGGTACATACTGACCTGTACCAGCTCGGTGATTCTCACAGGGAAGATCCTTTCTGTCCTGTTCACTCGACACTAGATAGTTGGGTTTGACTCTAATGGGATCCTCTGAAGCTCTGTTCCAACAAAGTGTGGAAATATCCTAATAAATTCTCCCATCTGCATCGTCTCATGTGAATCAAAGGAACAACTAATGTCTCTATTAAAATAAAGGTCGGGCTTAAGTGCTTTGCTGGAAGAGGGCTGTGTTGCATGGAAAGGCTGAGACATTGGCTGCCTAGACAGACTCGGAGACTATACTGAAAAGTCCGTTTGCTTTGGGTTAGTCTCTAGGAGATTAAAGCTTTACAGTGATCTTGAATTAATCCTTTTGAATCACAAAATATTTCTTCTGAGGGGAAGAGGAGAATGAATATCAAGCATGGAGATGAGTGCATATTTTTCTGTATGTGTATTGTTGCTTTGCGTAATTTCCTTTGTATCTGCATAGTTTTGATAAGGAAAAATCAACTTCCTATTTTTTTCTTTCTGTACCAGAAATGCCAGGACTGTTTTACATTTGAACAATGTCGATGTTTATTTTTGCTTTCTAAACTAAGCAGGAAAGGATCCTAATTATTTTTTTGTGTTAACTTTTATTGGAATATGATTTTATTCTGTTGTTTCCTACTCTGTGACGATCATATTCAGGAACAATAAGAAAGGGCAGAGGCAGAGACTCAGGGTGTAATGATGATGTTTCCAAACAGAGCTCCTCAGAAGATGTGTGTGAGGAGGGTGCAAAGGGCATGCATACCTCTTTCTGCAGCCTTCCACGTTGCCTTTGCTCACTGAGCTCCACATCCAGTCTCATTTGGTGGCTGTGTCAGAGGAAGGGTCCTGCATGTTGTCTTGCATCATTAGGTAGAGGCCCCCCCAGCACTGCAGGGTTGATTATCAGCTCCTTCGAGGGGTCAAGTTAGTTCTGGGGGTGAGTTTTTGGTACCTGTGGGATCTGCTCTGATGCTCCTCGATCTTAGTGCTGGCTTGGAATCCTCTTCGTGGGGGTTGAGCACAGCGTTTTCTGTCCCAGTCTGGCACTACTCCGGTGTGTTCTCATTCAGGCAGGCTTTAGAAGTGATCAGCCATCTCAGGTTGAGTGGAACGTAAGCACAAGCTCAGATACTTTCCCAAACAGTACAGTTCTCTGGACCTGGGTTTGTTTTGCTCCAGGTGTTATGAGTCCATGTGAACGCAGCTGAAAAGGACAGCAGGACAGCAGCTGCAGGAGTAGCAGCAAGGCAGAGCTTCCTTCTGAATGTGTGGGTAGAGCTCGGGGTGCAGGTGGCCAGCCACAGTGTTCACCTGCTTGTTAGGGTCCAGGTGTGGAGTAAGAGGGAATCACACACACTGCTTTTAACTGTGGATATTGGGATTCGGC